TGCAGAGTGGTTGCGGTTTGAACCGCATCTAATCCGCATGACATTTGAAATAACATTGCTTTCTATGGTGCCTTTTCACATATGTCCTGTGCACCGGCAGTACAGATTCAGTGCAGTTTGAAAAAGAGTCCTGTACGATTTCTCAGCAGTGCGGTCTAGTTCATGTGCAGATTACAGGCTATTGACTTCTAAGGGAACCGTTTCTAAACCGCATATGTGTGAACAGGATAAAATCCTGACCTAATCCTGTCCTGAACCTAATGTAAACCTTACATGAACCGCTGATCAACTACTGTATCAATTACCTGTGAAGCCTGAACTTCAATCCGCAACGTACCTGTGTGAATCAGCTCTAAGTGTGCACATTTGTGTTCACATTTTTTTGGGAGGGGGAGGGAATTTTTGTTGACATACAGTCATGGCCAAAAATATTGGCACCCTAGCATTTCTGTCAGAAAATGCACCACGTCTCCCAAAAAATAGTTGCAATTACAAATGTTTAGGCATTCTGATGTTTTTTTTGTTTGTATTGGTATGACACAAAAGTGTAGAAACAAAAAGCCAAATCTGACACATTCCATGCAAAACTCCAAAAATGGACTGGACAAAATTATTGGCACCTTCTCAAAATTGTAACAGATAATTGCATTCCAAGTTTGCGATGCTCCTGTAATTTGTAATTAAACTCACCTGTATAAATTAACAGATGCTGACAATGTAGAAATCACTCCGGCAACCAGTTAAAATGGTGAAAAATTGACCCAACCTTTCTGTTGTGCATCTCTTTGTGCCTCATGGAGCATGGAGAAGAGAAAGCAGGGCAAAGAATTGTCTGAGGATTTGAGAACAAAAATTGTGGAAAAGCATGGACATTCTCATGGTTACAAGTCCATCTCCAGAGATCTTAATGTTCCTGTGTCCACTGTGTGGGACATTGTCAAGAAGTTCAAAGCCCAATGCACTGTAGCTAATCTCCCTGGATGTGAACGAAAGAGAAAAATTGATCAAAAAATGCAACGAAGGATTTGTCGAATGGTGGCTAAAGAAGGCACAGGGTACAACTGTGTCAGCTCGCACTATACGTCACCATCTAAATGAAAAGGGACACTATGGGTGGAGACCAAAGATGACCCCACTGCTGACACAGAAACATAAAAAAGCCAGATTGGATTTTGCCAAAACCTACTTGAAGAAGTAAAAATCTTTTTGGGAGAATGTGCTGTGGACAGACAAAACAAAATTACAGCTTTTTGGTAAAGCCCATCATTCTACTGTTTTCAGAAAAAGCAATAAAGCCTTTAAAGAATATAATACAGTCTCTAAAGTCAAACATGGTGAAGGTTCACTGATGTTTTGGGGTTGCTTTGCTGCTTCAGGCACTGGATGTCTTGACAGTGTACATGGCATTATGAAATCTGAAGGCTATTCAAGAATTCTGGGGTGCAATGTAGAGCCCAGTGTCAGAAAGTTTGGTCTCCATCAGAGGTCATGAGTCTTACAGAAGGACAATGACCCAAAGCACACATCAAAAAGAACCCAGAAATGATTTCAGACAAAGCGCTGGAGAGTACTGAACTGGCCAGAAACGAGTCCAGATCTCAATCCCATATAGCACCTGTGGAGAGTTCTCAAAACAGCAGTTGGGAAAAGGAACCCTTCCAATCTGAAAGACCTGGAGCAGTTGGCGAAAGAAGAGTGGTCCAAAATTCCAGTAGAGGTGTAAGAAACTCATTGCTGGTTATAGGAAGCGATTGATTTCAGTTATTTTTTCCTAGGGGTGTGCTGCCAAATATTAAATTGAGGGTGCCAATAATTTTGCCCAGTCCATTTTTGGAGTTTTGGGTGGAATGAGTCAGATTTGGCTTTTTGTTTCTCCACTTTTTGTGTCATAGCAAAACAAACAAAATAAATAAAATGAGAAAATGAGAATGCCTAAACATTTGTAATTGTCACAATTCTCTGGGCGAAGAGGTGCATTATCTGAAAGAAATCCAGGGGTGCCTATATTTTTGGCCATGACTATATAAAGCTCATGGGGGGGGGGGCTTTAGCATCTTCACCTAGGGTACTAGATGATCTTGGCCCAGCACTGGCTCCATTCATTGAAGCTGCTGTTCTATAGCTTCCTGCAATAAAAAGCACTCTTTTCATTGCAGGAGACATATACATTTTTCTTTTCTTCTAACTAGATATCTACTGTACCCAGCATTAGGATACTTATTTGTAACTTCTGGGTCATAACAAAAGGGTCTGTTTATAAAGGGGTTAAAGTGTTTGTTACCTTAAAGCGGAGTTCCAGTTGCACTGTAAAAAAATAAAAGTCAGCAGCTACAAAAACTATAGCTGCTGACTTTTAAAAAACAGCCAGTCACCCGCCCCACAAACCAGCGGTGTCCTCCCCGAAGCCCGTTTCACCAGCCGTCTGGTGTTCCAGACGCAGGCATCATCAGTGTGGGCACCCAGCTGTGACAGCTTGTGCCTTCATAGTCGGGTGCCCACTGCGCATGTGCTTTGTGAATGGCCCAGTAGTCTTCTGGGACCTGTCACATGTCCCAGAAGACTGGAGGGAGGGTAGGAGGACAACTATGGCTTCCGATCGCCTAGGCAATAGCAGCAGAAGTGGGAGTGGGTACCTGTCAATTTCGGGTACCTGCTCCCCAAAGGTGCCAATCCTTAATGGGGAGCAGGGGATCAGTCTTTAAAGCGGAACTTCCCCTTTTGGGCGGTAAAGCTCCACTTTAAAAAATTAGTTTTAATAATCTGTCTCTTAAAACTGTAATTTTCCATATAATTACCGTAAACACCTGGTTGATCTGTCAGTTCCCCTTCTTCTAGGCTGTAAACCAGCCATGCTAAGCAAGGATGCCAATTCATGCTGGTATGGTCAGTTTGCGTGCCTTTTATATTCGTTCAAAAGTATAGGCATGCTGTGTCTATGTCACATGTCAGTTAAAGCGACCTGAGAAATGAAAACTTAAATTAAGTGTGTTTCTATTTAACCTCCTAATAACCCTTAGTTACCAGGCCCTTGAGCTAAAAATTGCCCTGGTCTGGGGGTGCAAAGATGTGAAAGCTGAATTGGCTGAATGTTTGATTCAGTAACATTTGCTGTGCATATATTACATTATATTATATGACGTATGTTACAAGGTGACATATTACATGGCTAGTAAAGTGTTCAACTGTGATCTTCAAAAATTATTATATTTGCATGACTCATCCCAGTGCATGAAAAGTTTGAGTTTCCTTACAGTCTGACTATGGAATAATGCAGGTGACCAGCTTTATAACCTAATTATCTGTGTCATATACTACCTTTTGGCAAGGAAAATGTTAAAATTTGTAGACCTGCTTGCCGCTTGGACCATAAAGCTTTTCTGGAGATCCCAATTTCACTATGCCAGTATAAGCAGAAAAAATGCTTTAATTTTATGTACATTTGCAGTAGTATAAAATATATGGGTAAATATAGAATACTGCATATGAATATATCATATTCCTTTGAGCCCCAAATCCAATCACTGTTCAAATCTTGTAGACTTCACCTTCGCAACATCTCCAAGATACGCCCATTCTTAACCTCGGAAACTACTAAGAAACGTATTCACTCCCTTGTTATCTCTCGCCTTGACTATTGTAACTCCCTCCTCATTGGCCTACCTCATTGCAAGCTATCCCCTCTTCAGTCTATCCTGAATGCTGCTACCAGACTCATCCACCTTACTAACCGTTCTGTATCTGCCACCCCTCTCTGCCATTCCCTCCACTGGCTTTCCATTGCCCAACGAATAAAATTCAAAACATTAACAATAATATATAAAGCCATTTATAACTCTGCCCCAAATTACATCACCAATCTTGTCTCCAAATATCACCCAAACCGTACTCTCCGCTCCTCGCACAACCTCCTGCTCCCTTGTCTCCTCCTCCCATGCTCATCTTCATGACTTCTCCAGAGCTTCCCCCATCCTCTGGAACTCTCTACCCCAATTTATCAGAATATTGCCTACTCTGCTCACTTTTAGGCGATCTCTGAAAACCTATCTCTTCAGAGAAGCCTATCCTGCCCTCAGCTAATAATGGAATATTTTATTCCTCCTACCAGTCCATCCCCCACAGTTACTACCTTTTGTACTACTGGCCCCTCCATCTTAGATTGTAAGCTCCAAGGAGCAGGGCCCTCCTAACCCTCTTGTATTGAACTGTATTGTTGCTGTATTGTCTCCCGTTATATTGTATAGCACTGAGCAAACTGTTGGCGCTATATAAATCCTGTATAATAATAATAATAATAATATCATAATTACTTCCTGCAGTCAGCAGGTGAAAGTCTATGCAACCCTATTTTTCTTAAGGTTTTTTGTTTTTTTTTACAGCTGTTTTGTGGAAAGTGGTACCAGATATGGAAATTTTATTGCCCTTGCCCACACTCAAGAAAGCCTATGAAAAAGGTACCAGGGGCATCCCATGGGGCCCCCTACTGACCCCAGGCCCTCCGGCAGTGCCCGAGTTTCCAAATGGTCAGTCCGCCCCTGCCACTGTGTTGATACCGGTTTCCAGTTGGCAGCTGTTGCAGCACAGAAGCCATTTTCAGGAGTGTGTGCGATGGGAATATTTTATCGGACGAACGTAGGGCAATAATTGTCAATTGCCTGAACTGCTAGCATGGGCAGAGAAAGATAGTCATCCAAGAAGGATAGGTGCAACAGGGACTGGGAGTGTAGGGAGGGTGTAATGAGGTAATTTACCATATCATGTAAAGTTTTCAACTAAAAAGCCTCATGCACGCAGGACGTTTTGCAAAATCTCCTTGAAGCCTTTCCTACTGGCTGCATTTTTTTGTCAGACAAGCGTTTAGGTGTGTTTACAGCGGTTGGGTGTTAATTAAAGTGTTACTAAACCCACAGCAGTAAAATCAGTCTGTATATGCAGTAAAGCATACTTGTTATACTCACTGTGGAACCTAAGGGGCTAATCCTCTGCATTGTGTAAAAAGGCCATTTGATCCTGTTTTCTCCGCTCTTCCTCTTGTTCAAATGCCCACGTCTTATTTCCCGATAAGACAGACTGAACCCATAGCCCCATGCACATGCTCAGTATAGTGTGTATTGCTAGAGAGGTTTTTTTTTCTTGGAAGAGTTCATGTGATCAGAACAGGGCCAATCAGCACTGTCCATACAGAGGTCAGGGGTTCTGCATCCTCCTAGAGCAGAAAGAAAACTCCTACAAGCTTTAACCAGTGCTCAGCTGAGGTTACAAGACTGCTCTAACTGCTGATGAGAAAAGGTATTTAGCAGTTTATATTTACTAACAATTGCATTTCCATGTTGTGTGTACTGTGGGAGACCAGATATAGTGAATGCAGGGTCCTGGGTTTAGTAACACTTTAATGTCATTGGCTAGAACATTCTGGTGCTCCTAGGCTCAATTGCAGTGGGGGGGGGGGAGGGTATCTGCCTCTAAAAGCTCCTTCCACTAAATGCTGCTAAAAGCCTATGTATGCATGGACACATAGACTAACATGCAGAGGAGTTTAGAGGCAGGAAAAAAAAATGCCTGCCACCCCTAGATGCAGCTGCAAAATCGTCCAGTGTGCATGAGGCCTGACAGTAAAAAACGATTAGAAATCAGGTCAAGCAATAGGTTTATGCTGTACATGCAAGTTTGAGATGGTGTCGCAAACATGAGCATTGCGGAGGAAAAAAAGAGCAGAGAACACATCTACAGATATTTATTGGTTACTATAACATATGGTAGTGGCCTAGCGAGCACTGTTTTAGGTGCCTTTTCTTTTAACCACTTCCCCTCCTGAGGATTTACCCCCCTTCCTGACCAGGCCATATTTTGCGTTACGGCATTGCATTACTTTAACTGACAATTGTGCGTTCATGCAACGCTGCACGCAAATGAAATGTACGTCCTTTTTTTCCCACGAATTGAGCTTTCTTTCTGCTGTATTTGATTGCCTCTGCGTTTTTATTTTTTGCACTATAAGAAAAAAAAGACCGACAATTTTCAGAAAAAATAACAATATTTTGACCAAACTGTATTCTGTTACATGTCTTTGCTAAAAAAAATCCAAATACGTGTAAATTAATTGGTTTATGTGAAAGTTATAGCATTTACATGGTGGTATATATACTGGGATTTGTTTTTTAAATTATTTTTACTAGTAATGGCGGCAATCAGCGACTTATAGCGGGACTGCGATGGGCATTCTGACACTGGGGGGAACTGACTTGGTGTCATTGACACCCCCAGTGACACCAATACAATGATCAATGCTAAAAAAAAAAAAGCACTGACATTGTACTAATGGCACTGGGCAGGAAGGGGTTAACATGAGGGGGGGATCTAAGGGCTAACTGTGTGCTGTGTGCTGTTTTACTTGTGTCTGTGTCCGCGTACTTCACTCTAAACACATTGCTTTGCATGGCTGTGTTGTGCACAGCCATCCAAAGAAGTGTGCATGAGCTGAGAGGGAGGAGAACTGTTTTGTTTACAAACAGTTCTCCTCTCTGTTGGAGATGCTCGGCAATCACCGGGCGCTGGCCAGGACCCGGTGTGTAAGTAATCACTGGCCAGAACCCGGTGATTGACAGCCCCGGCCGCAAATGGGCGTGCGCACGCCCCTACCCGGAAATGTAAAATCACGTATATATGTGTGTGTATATATATACAGTCATGGCCGAAATTGTTGGCACCCTTGATATTTTTCCTGAAAATCAAGTATTTCACACAAAAAAGGTATTGCATTAACACATGTTTTTGCTATACACATGTTTATTCCCTTTGTATGTATTGGAACAAATATAAAACAGAGGCAGAAAAGCAAATATGACATAATGTCACACAAAACCCAAAAATGGGCTGGACAAAAGTATTGGCACCCTTAACTTAATATTTGGTTGCACACCCTTTGGAAAACATAACTGAAATCAGTCGCTTCCTATAACCATCAATAAGCTTCTGACACCTCTCACCCGGAATTTTGGACCACTCTTCCTTTGCAAACAGCTCCAGGTCTCTCTTATTGGAAGGACACCTTTTCCCAACAGCAATTTTAAGATCTCTCCACAGGTGTTCAATGGGATAGATCTGGGCTCATTGCTGGCCACTTCAGAACTCTCCAGCGCTTCTTTGCCATCCATTTCTGAGTGCTTTTTGACGTATGTTTGGGGTCATTGTCCTGCTGGAAGACCCAGGATCTTGGACGCAAACCCAGCTTTCTGACACTGGGCCCTACAGTGCGACCCAAAATCCTTTGGTAATCCTCAGATTTCATGATGCCTTGCACACAGTCAAGGCACCCAGTGCCAGAGGCAGCAAAACAACCCCAAAACATCATTGAACCTCCACCATATTTTACCGTAGGTACTGTGTTTTGTTCTTTGTAGGCCTCATTCCGTTTTCGGTAAACAGTAGAATGATGTGCTTTACCGAAAAGCTCTATCTTGGTCTCATGTGTCCACAAGACGTTTTCCCAGAAGGCTTTTGGCTTACTCAAGTACATTTTGGCAAACTGTAGTCTTGCTTTTTTATGTCTCTGTGTCAGCAGTGGGGTCCTCCTGGGTCTCCTGCCATAGCGTTTCATTTCATTTAAATGTCGACGGATAGTTCGCGCTGACACTGATGCTCCCTGAGCCTGCAGGACAGCTTGAATGTCTTTGGAACATGTTTGGGGCTGCTTATCCACCATCCGGACTATTCTGCGTTGCAATCTTTCATCAATTTTCCTCATCCGTCCACGACCAGGGAGATTAGCTACAGTGCCATGGGTTGCAAACTTCTTGATAATGTTGCGCACTGTGGACAAAGGCAAATCTAGTTCTCTGGAGATGGACTTGTAACCTTGAGATTGTTGATATTTTGCCACAATTTTGGTTCTCAGGTCCTCAGACAGTTCTCGTCTCCTCTTTCTGTTGTCCATGCTTAGTGTGGCACAGACAGACACACACAATGCAAAGGTTAAGTGAACGTCTCTCCTTTTTATCTGCTTTCAGGTGTGATTTCTATATTGCCCACACCTGTTACTTGCCCCAGGTGAGTTTACAGGAGCATCACATGCTTGTAACATTCTTATTTATATCCGCAGTTGTGAAAGGGTGCCAATACTTTTGTCCAGCCCATTTTTGGAGGTTTGTGTGACATTATGTCGAATTTGCTTTCTTTCCTCCCTTTTTTTGTGTCTTTTTTTACACACAAAGGGAATAAACATGTGTATAGCAAAACATGTGTTAATGCAATACGTTTCGTGAGAAATACATGATTTCCTGGAGAAATATCAAGGGTGCCAACAATTTCGGCCATGACTGTATATATGATTTTGCTTTGCAACACCCATGCCACCCTGTAGCAGTATTTCTGCTATAGGGCAGTCGGGAAGTGGTTAAAACATGTGTGAAGGTGTGAAGCACATTCAAAACACTGTTGGGGAAATTCATAAAGGATGTTTGTGCCCAAATCACATAGACATACATTTGTCCATGTCTGCAATGAGGAAGGAGTGTCCACACTGGACATTCTTTCTTCAGAGCCCTCTCTCCCGCCCTTCCACACCGGCCACTGCACCCATCACAATGACAGGCTCCAGAAGTCTTATAGTGAGGTGGGCAGAGCCCACTACAGGTCTGCTTCCCTTTTGATTGACAGCACATGGGAGTGGGCAGATCCATACCCGCTATTCAGTCCAATAGCAGCTTTCAAATCTGCTGTGCGCTGACATTCAAAAAGTAAGTGGACCTGATAGGGAACTAGTCTCACATCAGGCTGCACCCACCGAGTAACAAGTCATTTCTGAATTATGGCCATTGCCCATATTTGGGTAATGACATCCCGATGATAGATTTTTAAAGTGACAGTAAGAAGAAGTAAGAACTACCTGAATTTGCTGCACGTGTCAGTAATGTTGTCAACACTGGAGCAAATGCTTGCCTGAATTAGGTGCAGATAGTTTTAAAGGAAACTACCCCTAGAAATGTGTTGTTGGAGCTATATTGAATTCCCCTGAGTGTTTTGTAAACCAAAAAAAGCTTATACCCACTTTCAGTAATAGTTATTCATGTTCAACAGGACTTTGTCTGTAATGTTAGGAGTTTTGCTGATCTTTCAATTAGCCTCCTCAGCTCTAACCAGTGTCATGAATATTCCCAAGCATTTATAGGCACACTGGTAACTCAATCACCTTAATCCAATCACCATGAAATGGGTAAAATGAAGTCAGGTGTGAAAGTTTGCACAACCACACTGTTCTAATTACATAATCCAATAATCATGGTTTTATGAAGACTGGGGCATGAATTACTTGTTCAAGTCCCACAAAAGAAGGTCTGAATTGTTGTCAAATCACCGGGTTAGAGATAGTAGAACAGCATTAAATGTGGGCAATTAATTAATCAATTCCAGAATAGTGTGGGATGTAGAGTGTTCTATATGCTTTATAAACTTGACTCAAATGAGCTTAAAGCAGAGTTCCAGTCACACTGTGAAAAAATAAGTCAGCAGCTACAAAAACTGTAACTGCTGACTTTTAAATAACAGCCACTTACCTGTCCCACGATCCTGCGGTTTCCTTCCCGCAGCCAGTTTCACCAGCTGTCTGCATCTTCAGTGTGGGCACCCAGCTGTGACAGATTGTGGCTTCACAGCCGGGTGCCCACTGTTCATGCGCAAGTAGCATTGCACTTCCTGAATGGCCCTGTAGTCTTCTGGGACCTGTCACGTGTCTCAGAAGACTACGGGGAGAGAGGGGGGAGGACAACTTCCGCTTCTGATTGCTTAGGCGATCGCAGCGGAAGTGGGAGCAGGTACATGACAATTTCGGGTACCCGCTCCCCAAAAGTGCCAATCCTTAATGGGGAATGGGGGACCCGTCTTTAAAGCGGAACTTCCCCATTTGGGTGGAGCTTGGCTTTAAAGTATAACTAAAGGCAAAACTTTTTTTTTAGTTTTGGACAGAGTGGAGATAGATTAGAACCCCTGGTTCAGGTTTTATTGGTGTCTGTGCCCGTGTTAGGGAGGTTCACCCTCTCTATTAGTCCTGTTTACCATTATCATTAGAGATGAGCGAATTATTCAAAAATTCGATTCGGCTGATTCGCCGAATTCGCGGAATAAATTCGATTCGAGGCGAATATATTCGCTGCGAATTTAACGTGTAAAAAGGGTGTTTCTAGGCTTCAGAGAGCCTTTATATTAGTGCAGAACACTGTACCTTTAATTTAAATGCCCTTGGAGTCTGCTGGGGAAGAGAAATAATACTGTCAGTCAGTATGACATGCAGATGAGTGCCGTCGATCTTAGAATCACCGCACACTTCACTCATTTGGGCAGTCACGGGGCAAAAACCAGAGTGTGGAGCCACAGTGTGGCGGTGGAGGCAGCAGCAATGGGAGGCCATACAGCACCCTATGACAAAATGGAACCCACCAGCAGTGTGAGGAGACCTGAAAGTGGCACATGGCAGAGTGTGGCGATGGAGACAGCAGCAATGGGAGGCCGTACAGGGACCCATGACACACTCTGGACCTGGCAGCAGCATGAGGCCCATGACAGCGGTACAGGGGCCCATGGCAGAGTGGCGAAGCGTAAGCAGCTTAAATTGAAGGCCATACAGAGGCCTATGTTAAAAAGTCCCCCCAGCAGCAGCGTGGGGAGACGACTATTAGCCATGACAGATTACGGGCCTGGCAGCAGCATGAGGAGTCGGTACGGGGGCCCATGGACAGATTACGGGCCTGGCAGCAGCAATGGGAGGCCATACAGCACCCTATGACAAAATGGAACCCACCAGCAGCAGTGTGAGGAGACCTGAAAGTGGCACATGGCAGAGTGTGGCGATGGAGACAGCAGCAATGGGAGGCCGTACAGGGACCCATGACACACTCTGGACCTGGCAGCAGCATGAGGAGGCGGGGTACAGGGGCCCATGACAGATTACGGGCCTGGCAGCAGCATGAGGAGTCGGTACGGGGGCCCATGGCAGATTACGGGGCCTGGCAGCAGCAATGGGAGGCCATACAGCACCCTATGACAAAATGGAACCCACCAGCAGTGTGTGAGGAGACCTGAAAGTGGCACATGGCAGAGTGTGGCGATGGAGACAGCAGCAATGGGAGGCCGTACAGGGACCCATGACAGATTACGGGCCTGGCAGCAGCATGAGGGAGTCGGTACGGGGGCCCATGGCAGATTACGGGCCTGGCAGCAGCATGAGGAGGCGGTACAGGGGCCCATGGCAGAGTGGTGGAGCGTAAGCAGCTAAAATTGAAGGCCATACAGAGGCCTATGTTAAAAAGTCCCCCCAGCAGCAGCGTGGGGAGACGACTAACAGTCGTCTCCCCACGCTGCTGCTGGGGGGACTTTTTAACATAGGCTCTGTATGGCCTTCAATTTAAGCTGCTTACGCTTCGCCACTCTGCCATGGGCCCCTGTACCGCCTCCTCTTGCTGCTGCCAGGTCCAGAGTGTGTCATGGGTCCCTGTACGGCCTCCCATTACTGCTGACTTCATCGCCAGACTCTGCCATGTGCCACTTTCAGGTCTCCTTACACTGTTGGTGGGTTCCATTTTGTGATAGGGTGCTGTATGGCCTTCCATTGCTGCTGCCTCCACCGCCACCCTGCGCAGTTTGCCCTGCGCCATGTGCCTCTGTCGTCTGCTCACGCTGCTGACGGCTTCCGCTTTTTTAACCGAGGCCTGTGTTTGGCTTTCCGAATACTGCTGCATCCACCGCCACCTGCGCCATGTGCCTCTGTCGTCTGCTCACGCTGATGCCAGGTCCATACTGATTCATGGCCCCCTGTACCGGCTCCTCATGAACGTGGTTCAGCGGGTTTGCATCACTTAACGGCAAATCATTGACAAACGCTGGGACGTTCAGTGTTGTGGCGCATTAAGCCAGACACCAAAGGGCAGCACAGACCTGTTATTACTCGCTCAAGCATGGCTGAACAAAACTAGTCTCTACACCACAAATTGGACCCAGACCTGCCCAGGGTCTCGTAAGTAGATTGCACGGAGGAGTAGAGTTCGTTATTGGAATTAACTGTGAGGGACTTTTAAACCTAGGCCTGTGTATGGCCTTCAATTGAAGCTGCTTCTGCTCCGCCACTCTGCCATTGGACTCTTGATAGTCGTCGACTATCAAGTGGCGGTGGCGGTGGGCTGGCAGCAGCAATGGAAGGCCATACAGCACCCTATCACACAAAATGGAACCCACCAACAGTGTAAGGAGACCTGAAAGTGGCACATGGCAGAGTCTGGCGATGAAGTCAGCAGCAATGGGAGGCCGTACAGGGACCCATGACACACTCTGGACCTGGCAGCAGCAAGAGGAGGCGGTACAGGGGCCCATGGCAGAGTGGCGAAGCGTAAGCAGCTTAAATTGAAGGCCATACAGAGGCCTATGTTAAAAATAATAACATGTTTGGGGCATGATTCATGGCGGATTTAGTCAGTTGTGTCAGGAACTGGTGGTTTGAAATCCAGACTAATCCACGCCTGATTCATTTTCACAAACGTGAGTCTCTCCACACTTTGGGTGGACAGTCGTGTCCTCCGCGGAGTTACAATACCTCCTGCCGCACTAAACACGCTCTCCGATGTCACGCTACTGGCCGGGCATGACAGCCTTTCAAGGGCAAATTCAGCTAGTTGGGGCCAAAGGTCAAGTTTCGTTGCCCAGTAGTCAAGGGGATTGTCTACCTCGGTTGGCAGGGTGCTGTCCAAGTAGGCCCGAGCCTGTTGTTTGAGGTCCTGCTCCAGGTCCACCTGATGCTGCTGCTGCTGCGGCTGGTTAGTAGTTTCCTCATTGCGCTGGGTGAAGAAAGCTACTCATCATCGACTGCAGACTGAGGCAGCCGCTGCTGGTGGAGCTGCCACTGCTCCTACCACCACCCCCTCCCCTGCTGCCATGGCAGTGGAACGCGAGCGCACAGGGCCCACAGTGTCTGAGGATGGACATTGGCGCAGAAAGGCAGAGACCAACTGACTACATAGGTGGTTTTTATAGTACTTTATTTTGGCCTCGCTCTCAGCAGGTGTGAAAAAGGCCACCATTTTTGAACGGTAGCGAGGGTCCAGCAAGGTGGACAGCCAAAAGTCATCCCTCTGTCTGATGGTTATTATTCGGCTGTCGCTACGCAAGCAACCGAGCATGCTATGGGCCATTTGTGCCAAGGAATGAGAGGACTCCCTGCCTCCATCTCCACAGCATACTGCCACGGTGCGTCTGGGTCCTCTGTCTCCTCCTCCTCCTCCTCTACCAGATGCTCCTGCTCCTCCACTCCTGTCCGCTGAGTGGAAAAACCACCCATTTCACTCAATAATTCCTGAGCACCAATGTCCTCCTCTACCTCCTCCTCTTCTTCCTGTCCTGCCCCCACAGGGGGTCATGTGGCGTTGAGATCTGTGCGCCACGTCTACCGCACCCTGACCAGCCATTGTTAACAGCATTTGTTCCAGGACGTGCAACAGAGGAATGACGTCGTTCATCCCATAGTCCTGCCGACTCACGAATAGCGTGGCCTCCTCAAAGGGCCTAAGCAAGCGGCAGGTGTCACGCATGAGCTGCCAATGGCTGACATCTAAGTTAGACAGGGGAGTACCTTTATCCGCTTGTAACATCAGGAAATCGGTGATGGCCTTTTGCTGTTCGTAAAGGCGGTCTAACATATATGTAGGGTTGAATTCCACCTTGTTGCAACATCGCAGATCAGGCGATGCTGTGGAATTCCGTTCTGCCGCTGCAGCTCAAGGAGGGTGTGCTTTGCGGTGTAGGAATGGCTGAAATGCATGCAAAGTTTACGTGACATTTTAAGGATGTCTTGCAGTGGGATGGTGGATTTTAGGAAACCGCTTGACAACCAGATTGAACACGTGAGCCATGCATGGCGCATGGCACAACCTTCCTTGACGCAGAGCAGACACCATGTTCTTTCCGTTGTCGGTCAACATGGTTCCGATTTTCAGTTTGCGCGGAGACAGCCATCTGTCGATTTCTCTGTTCATTACACTCAGAAGTTCCTCCCCTGTGTGAATACGTTCGCCAAGGCATACCAGGTGCAGCACAGCGTGACACCGTTGCGCCCTGCACATGTGATATGCCGGTCGGGTAATGGGACTTGGCACGGGGGGGTGGCGCTGAGGACACGGCGGAAGAAGAGGTGGTAGAGGCGGACATCTTTGCTGGACCAAGGACGTACAAACGTGGAGGCAAAAGCGGCGTGACCTGTCCAAGTTGCTGGTGCGGCTGTGCCGGCACCACGTTCACCCAGTGGGCCGTAAATGACATGTACTGTCCCTGACCGTAGTTACAGCTCCACACGTCGGCGCTGCCGTGCACTTTGGCAGAGACCGACATGCTCAAAGACTGGCCCACCATCTCTTCTACATGTGAATGCAGGGCTGGCACTGCCTTTTTGGCGAAGAAATGCCGGCTTGGCACTCTCCACCGCGGCTCGGCACAAGCCATCATTTCTCGGAAAGGTGCTGAGTCCACCACTTGGAAAGGGAGGGACTGCAGCACCAGCAACTTGGACAGGAGGACGTTCAGCTTTTGCACCGTCGGGTGCGTGCTCGCAAACTGTTGTCTCTTGGAAACGGATTCCAAGAAAGACTGCTGACGGAATCCGTGAAGAGGAGTAGCAGGAGAAGGAGCATCTGAACGAGCGGAAGATGCCAACGAGCGACAACTCCCCTCAGCAGAGGTGTTGGAGCCTTGACTGGCTGATAGAGGGCGATTGACGTCGGGTGACGGAGCAAGTAACGGAGCGGGTGATGGAGCGGGGGCTGGGGCAGGCAGAACCGCCGTATCTTTATCACAGTTTTCCCAGGCCACCGAATGGCGACACTGCATATGCTGACCCAACGCTGTAGTCCCAACATGGGCCCCCTGGCCACGCTTGACTTTCTGGCCACATAGTCGACATACGACTACGTTTACTTCCTCGGGCGGCTTGACGAAAAATTGCCACACCGCCGAGTAGGAAACTTTGCCCCCGCTACTCCTCACTGGCTGACTGCTACTTCCTCCGTGCACACCGGCACCACTACTGGCCGTGGTGGTAGGCTGCAGTGGAGCTGGTGCTCTACTCCGTGGCCGTTTGCCTCCACTGACACTGCTGCGACCCTGCTGCCTCCTGGGCAACCCACCGACTGTTTTGCTCGCTGCCAAGCTGCCACCCTCTTCTCCTGATGATGCGGAAGCAATAGCCTGATGACGACGAGGCTGCCAAGTGCGATCAGCCTCATCATCATCAATTAGGGTCTCCGCGTCACTACTAGCCCCCTCGGCTGCGTGTGGGTCAGGAGACAGACCTGTCTCTAGACCGGCTACCGAGCCACTCTCCTCGCCAGTACTTCTTCGCCTGGCTGCTGAAGAGGCGGATGTCTCCCCCCGTTCCTGACCGCCCTCTGTTAGCTCTTCCTCACTGTACAGTGGGGCTGAGCCCACAGCATGCGATACTTCGCTTGGTGAGGGAACACCAAAGGACAGGGGCAGGTAGAGGACACGTGATTTCAGTGGGCTTGCTCCCGGGCCATGCCAACTAACGGTTGTGTCTGACGTACCCACCGACCGTTGGCTGTAGGTGTCAGAGGTGACCTGGGAAGGGGAAGAGACGACCGAGTCAACCAATCGATGACGGCAGGGTTGTCGGTGGAGACACGACCGCTGGATGACACCGGGAGCACTGGCCTCTGGCTGCGACTAGTGCTGCCTCGACCCCTTCCTCTGCTGCCACGTCTGCTCGCTCCTGAAACATTGCCTCCTCTGCCACTCCTCTGCGTGTTGTCTGACATACTCTTTAATTCAATAGAGGTTGTGAAGCAGAAAGTAACGATTCTGTGTCCCTGAGTAACAATTCTGTGTCCCCGAGTAACGATTCTGTGTCCCTGAGTAACAATTCTGTGTCCCCGAGTAACGATTCTGTGTCCCCGAGTAACGATTCTGTGTCCCCGAGTAACGATTCTGTGTCCCCGAGTAACGATTCTGTGTCCCTCAGTAACAATTCTGTGTCCCTGAGTAACAATTCTGTGTCCCTGAGTAACAATTCTGTGTCCCTGAGTAACGATTCTGTGTCCCTGAGTAACAATTCTGTGTCCCTGAGTAACAATTCTGTGTCTGTCCCTGAGTAACGATTCTGTGTCCCTGAGTAACAATTCTGTGTCCCTGAGTAACAATTCTGTGTCCCTGAGTAACGATTCTGTGTCCCTGAGTAACAATTCTGTGTCCCTCAGTAACGATTCTGTGTCCCTCAGTAACGATTCTGTGTCCCTGAGTAACAATTCTGTGTCCCTGAGTAACAATTCTGTGTCCCTGAGTAACAATTCTGTGTCCCTCAGTAACGATTCTGTGTCCCTCAGTAACGATTCTGTGTCCCTGAGTAACAATTCTGTGTCCCTGAGTAAAAATTCTGTGTCCCTGAGTAACGATTCTGTGTCCCCGAGTAACGATTCTGTGTCCCTGAGTAACAATTCTGTGTCCCTGAGTAACGATTCTGTGTCCCTGAGTAACGATTCTGTGGCCCTAAAGTCTCTGTGGCCCTAACTCTGTCCCTAATACAGACAGGTCTGTCTCTCTTGAATGACCGGAGGCTAATGGAGAATTCTAAGATGGCCGCAATTTATAGCTCCACCATTACACAGTGCTGGCTGGCTGGCTGCTGATTGGCTAATGCGATCACATGTCATGAATGAATGCATTATGGGTCAGCGCGCCTTGTCTGTGCGCCTTCCCAGAGATCCCAGCTCCGTCGCCACAGATGTCGCCGCCATTTTTGGGAAAATTCGATTCGTGCATCCGAAGTTTGCTAATTTTCGGATTCGGCGCGAATCGAATTTTTCCTGATCTTTGAAATGAATTCCACTTCGCCATGTTCGATTCGCTCATCTCTAATTATCATCAAAAGTGAAAGTAAAAGAAAATCCCAAATTTTGGGCTGTCCCCAGAAAAGTAAGGGGGAAACTTCCAATGGGCACACTACTTCTGGTGACCAGGGGTCCCCAAGGAATTCACTTTGCATTTCTAGGTGCGCGCGTGCCCTAACCGCGCCCCCATTCGCGGCCAATCACCAGGTCCTGGCCGGTGATTACTTGCCGGCGCCTAGTGATTGCCGAGCACACTGGTACGTCACTCTGTCCTCCACTTCTGTCTACATGTGCATACGGTAGAGCCGGATTAGGTCCCTGTGCTGGGAGAGGTCCCAGACTAATTGCTGGGTAGATAGCATTTCTTGATTTAATGACAGATTTGGACACTCAAAGTAGTTTTAAGTGAAAATATATTTTATTATTTTTAAGGGAATATAGGTGTTTTATTATGTATTCAGAGCTGAGCTTTAACCACTTGCCTACCGGGCACTTTCACCCCCTTCCTGCCCAGGCCAATTTTCAGCTTTCAGAGCTGTCACACTTTGAATGACAATTGCGCGGTAATG